TTTTTTTTTTTTTTTTTTTATTTAAATTACAAAAAATTTTGACTCGTAATGACAACTCGAAAATCGGATATCGATTGTCGTGATATTTGTTATTGTATTATTTATCTTAATTTTATACCATTTTACATAATTATTTAATATTTATTATTATACTTGCGTGCAATACACGTGATTAGTGAACGAATGATATTATAATGTGAATATAAATTATACGTATATTAAAGTGACTTTATACTTTTTTATAGATAGACAAAATAATATATTTCTTTACCTTATAACTCTGCGTCCGACTTTTCAAATATTTTCCTCTTCTTCCTACTTCTTCTCTAATAAAACGGAATAACTACAACACGAGATTCATATAGACGGATTAGATGCTCTCAAACATATGGTGCATGACTTATGCGTGACCTGAATTCGAGGCACGAGAATAAGATGACACATCTGTTGTATACGTCTACCGAAGAAACGTAAACATTTCAATTATAATTAATTAGCGTATATAAAAATTATAAAAAAATGCAACAACAATTATTACCGTTAACTTCTTAATTCCATTTAATTCTTCGAGCGCCAGCACTTGTTAAAAAATTTCTTAAAAATTAATCTCGAGTTCTCGTGAGAAGGAAGCGTGTTGTGCACCTGGCATCATTTCTTAAGAATCGTTTTTTTCACGTTGCTCGCGCTATGCTGAAGCTGGCCAAGATGATGGTGGTGTACCCATTGCCAGAAATTGCACTTCCGTTCCGCGAATTCCCACGGAAGTGGGTACAATCGCGACTACGACAAAAGATATTTTCGTATAACGTGCACCACCTTCATTGTTCTCCGCAACCATTCAATACTTCCACGCTGAACAATTAATAACGACCACCGCTAATGAACGGATCAATGAAGGATCTTTGCAAAGAATTTTTAATGTCGTTTTTTTTTTTTTTTTTTTTTTAAGGGAGCAATGGTTACTGATGAATGAAAATGTATTTGTTCACGCCTTAACGGATCCTAGTATCCTTGTTTCCAACCTCGATCTCGATCCACCACCTTGATCTCGATAAAGATGATTTATCACGGTTACGTTTTCATTCTATGGCGGCGTGCACGCGACGAGATAACATATACCAACGGTAAACTCGGATTTGATAGTGAAATTCTTCTACCTAGATGAAACAGGTGACTCTTTAGGTGGTAAATAGACGATGCAGACGCAGCCACGCGTCCTCCGGCCGTCTTTTCAAGACATAATATAAACACATGTTTCCTTGAGAAATAATCTAAAACGGCTCATCGTTCGGAAGATAGTGGCGGTAAACGTTATAAAAGGAAACGGTATTTGTTTTCTAACCTTCGTCTACAACGAACCATGAGAGAACACCTGTGTATGCAACGAAATACCTTGCTAAACGGGTACCCCACCTGACCGCAGATGAAAGAGAGACGGTAAGTCTTTGCGAAACGCAAAAAGGATTGTTTTACGCGACTCATTCGCTCGTTCTCCCCTCATTGAGATGCATCCGGTGCCACCCTCACCACTTCCTGGATGTTGCGTGGGATTTTCATTTTCAACAACACGCTTTGCAATCCTCTCATGAGAATTTGTCCTACTACCGAATACATCTCTCGAGTTTTTTTATATTCTTTTATTTATTTTATTTGTTTATTGTTTATTTATTTTTTTTTTTGATAAAATGTTTATTCATAAAATAATGAATATGTATTATTAAGAAAGAAATATAATTGAATGATAAACGGTTAAACGGTTACACATATAAAGATAATAATCTCGTAATAAATAGGAGATTTTTTTATAACAAATAAGTATATGTAATTGATGTAATATAAAAAACAATATATAAAAAATCATTATCTGAATTTTCTTAGATTTGAACGTTTAAAATCTTCCCGCTAGTGTACAGTGACGCCATCTGGTTAGCCATACTTTTATCAGTGGGATATACACCAATACTATTTAACGTTAATACAATCAGGCTCTCTGATTGGTTGTGACGATCCACGTACGGTTCGCTCGACGCGAGTTACCTCGTACGCGACTGAAAACTATTTCTCATTGCCTTCTACATCGAGACACGTACGATTCGGGCCACGAGAACAACAATGAGGTAAATTGACAATTATCATTGAAAAGTGTCGATTCACCTCGTTTATTTCGTATTTTTCTTTAGTAGGTTGTCGCAATAAATATTTTAACAATCATAAATTGTTACAAACATAAAGTTCAAAAAATATGTACGAATTCATCTTTTATATTTATATAATAAATCAAAATTTATATTCTTTTATTATAAAAATATAATTTTTTACATTTATCATTAATATTTTTCAATTTATCATTAAAATATTTATATTTATTATTATTGTTCATTTATAAATAATTAAAAATATAAAATATTATTTTTCATCAATTAAATCAAAATATTTAAATGTGTAAAAAATCAAGGCATAATAGATATGAATAAAAATTGATCTGTTTACCAGATTACTTTATTTTTTGTTTTATCAGAGAAGAATAGTTATAGATAAAATCTTATTTTTAAATTTTGCAAAATATAATGTGTTCTGGTTTTCATTATGGTGTCTAAGGATAATAGTTTATAAAGTTGAAATAAAATAATGATGATAATCTGAACAATATGCAAATAAATTCACTGTGCGTAATGTATTGCCATGCAAACATGGAAATCCGCCGAATAAACGTACGCACGAGTGTCCGTGATAAGATTATAGTCGTTGTTTTGAAAGCTGGACTTGTTTATTTTTCGTTTCTTTGTCAACATATAATGCGCTTCATTTTTTTTTTTTTTTTTAATCAATTATAAATTACTTATCATATCAATTTATCAATTTATCAGATATATATTGAAAAATATATTTTAACTTAAAACAGAATAATCAATAAGAATCATATTTTACAAGAAGACTCTATTCATGAAATATAAAGATTACCTTTTGCAATTTCTTACTTTTAAAAGCGTTCTCAAATGCAGATTTAATTGTGCGTTAAACACAATCGTATGTTTAGTGAAAATGTAAGACAATTATGATCGATCGCTTTTTCCAATTTTCCTTATAGTCCTCCTTCAATGCAAAAAAATAAAATTGGATAGTATTTACCATAAACTTGGCATACTGGGACGCATCCGATGGTTACAATCAGCATTCTGCTCGTTTGTGTTGTCATGGAAGGGGCCAATAACTGTATAACCTTCTCGTACGTGTTTTCAAAGGCTCGAAATGCTGCGCTCAGGTCGAAGGAACTATACTCTGCAAATGGCGGTTATTTCGTTTCTTCCCTGACATGTGGAGAGGGTAAAGGGGTGATACCGAAGATAGCCGAAAATAGCCGATGTATTTAGAGGCTTGGTTACTTGCAATGAGAAGCGCACACTTCAGTCGCTAGAGAGCGCTTTACACGTGTGGAACGTGTCTTCGCGCAACTTTGTGCGTTACAGAGCACGCACGCACCTCGTCAGCGTCAACATAACTGCGCAATCGTGTACGACCTTCTGCCGAACTTGGAACCACGCGCGTGTCTGACAGACGTGTATTTGGCGGGAAGCGTGGTACTCGTTTCATTTGGATTTTATGTGGTATCGAAGTCGATTCAGTGGCTCCCCACCGTGTCAGCGAACAGCATATTGGTGCTTTCGGGCCGTGTGCAATAACGTTTTCAGTAAAATTGTCTTGTGTCGAACGAGAAATCTTGAGTGATATATTTATGTATTTTGCATTATACGCATGGACGGGATAATTATAAACTCAAAAAACTGATATATAATCAGTTTTTAATTTCAACAATAACGTGGTAACCTTCGCGGGAACACGTCGAAACACGCTCGCCGTTTCTTGAAGCCTCACGCGCAAGTGCGTGCGACGTTGCCGGCTTTTTCTTCCCGCGGGCTATATTGACGAATTTAAGAGAAAAGGACAAAAAACTTAAAATCATAATCAATTATTGACATCAATTTTAGTTATTATGACCGTGGAAATGTATACCGATATTTGAGAAAATATGAGATAGTTGTTGCTGTTTTCCTATCTTACCTCTCACTCTTTCATTGTGGTACGCAATAGTGTGTTTACCGTGTTGCCAAACTTTCTAGTTTATCATACACGCTTCAGTTGTGGATGATATATTCCGAATTAAAATATATCTTTCGATTCACGGATGTATACCGCAAAAAATCAGTATTTCGAAGTGTTTGGTGGATCCATGATCGAATCAATAGTCAGCGTAATCGTGAGACGACGCTGAGCACGGCCATTATTCGAAATTCGGTGGGTCGCGCCACGACAACGTTGCCACGTCTTCGCAAGCCGCGAGTATTTCAACGTTCTGTGAACGATTCCTGGAAGAATCATCTCCGTAAACGGGACGTATATAATATACGTGTTGAAATTCATAAGAAAAAAAGATTGTTTTCTAACATCGCGCTGTGCGCGTATCGAAATCGATCGAGTGTGTAAGTTAGTAAGTGGCGTATCGCGATTTGGAACACAGACGCTGGGAGAAAGACAGAAAGAGACAAAGTGAGAGAAGGAGTATAAAAAAGAGAAAAAGTAGACACTAAGTGAAGAGAAACGGAAGCTGTTTGTTCGTGAAAACACTTGGTTATTGGTAACTGCGACGGAGAACAGCGACGTTGCCGGCGTGAAAGACTAACAAAATATGAGCGCTCGAGTGTTGAATCCGGTGATGATGACGGAAATGAGCAGGAATTTGGGTGGAGGACGAACGGTGCCGAGCAGAGCAGCCCTTGCTCGTGTTCGAAGGGACCTATTCGGACCCGTCGATCACGCCGCGGCTCGTGCATTGGCGGAACGAGAGCTTCGCGCTCAATCCATACTTGATGCCGAGAGATGGGGATTTGACTTTCACTTGGAAATACCAAGAGCTAATTCAAGGTACGAGTGGGAGCTGGTTACACCACAGGATGTGGTACCCGAACCCTATGCCCTACGAGGTATGCCCTACTTAAGGAAACACGCACCTAGTACACCACGAAAAGTACGGGATTCATCGCCCACTACAAGATTTCTCCGTAAAGATCTTTCGTCACCAGTAACTCCAATTCTCTCGAAATCTGAAAGAACGCCGCCACAAGAGCCAAGAGTACCGCAAATCGGTGAAATCACAACCAACGATCTGTTCGATTTTGACTCGGATAAGAAAACGTATATCGTCGAACCCACTACCCCCGTTTTACCAACCTCCGCAACGAGGAAACAGTCCTCTATAACCGGTAAGCGATAACATATTTTTTTCTATCTCATAATTGCTATTGTACGGAGTGAAGTAGGGCGGCAACGTGCCATAAGCACGTGCGCTTCTCGCGGTACCATTAGAAATTGACCGACGCGCCAGTTGCTATGTTCCGCTCTACAGAAACTTTTTCGCTTATTTTAAAAGCATCTTTATTAAAGAACTAACTCATCTTTAAATGAATGAATCACTTATATTCATCTCATACAGTTAGATTCAATATCAATAATTCTTAATCGCTTGCATATTAAAATATTGCAAATACTAATTTTTCACTTTTTATTTCATTCTTTGTTTTATTTTTTATTCTTTTTCTTTTTCTATTTTTATCAAATAACAATAATTCATATTTTTCATCATAAATTATACATTTTACGCGAATAAACAAAAAATAAGATATTTTTTGGATTATCATTGCACTCGTCAAAAAATATAATTTCCTTTTTCGTTTTAATCTTTTCGATAAATCAAGCAAAAATCAAGAAAAAATTACGTAATTACATGGAAATATAAGATTTCTTGAATTGTTTCATTTGATCGTCACGCATTATCGAAGTTAATTAGCTGGCATTATTTATACGGGAAGTAGTTTATCCTAGGTCAACCTAATTCGTCGATTGACAAGGTCGCTGCAATTTACGTAAATTACATAAGCATTTGATAAAGAGAAATGAAAAAACGGTCTGAAAAAAGGATTCAAATTCCTTCTTATCTTCTAATGTATCATATTTATAACCGTCAATAGTTTTAGGTTCGTTAAGCCGAGATTGTCATACATCGACTTCGTATGAAACACGTTAAAAGATAGATAAAATTATTCTATTATCATGGTTACGATAAAATTGACGGCGGAAAAAAATCTATCGTAAATACTTTTTTTTTTTTCTCTCGGATAATTATTAGTCTGATAATTCAATATATATTAACGTAAACAAGGATGACATAACGATAAATATTACTCGTAATTTTTCTATTAATCGATCAAACAACGGAATATGCCATTAAAATATAATTACGCGTATCTTCCATTTACAAAAGTAAAGGTGAATCACGATCATCTCTTTTTCTCATTTTCGGCGGCACAGATTTTCAGATTTTCCGCGTTGCGTCCGTGTGTTGTTACACGGCCATTTTGTTTGGACCCATACTTTACAGTCTAGTTCCCCTTTTTTTTCGCCTATTTATTATTCGGGCGTGCACACCACCCACGCGACGCGACTATTTCTGGACGTGACTCGTCATATGTCTCGCACGCACGCATCTACACGCGTGTAAACATATTTTGCGTCGTAGCAGTTTACACACTTTTGTTTATGTATACTTCGCTTCGTGTCGCGGATCTGAGAATTATCAATTCGATAAAATTGTTCGCAAAAAACGCGATTTGAAGATGAGATGAATCACCTTGATCGTTGCAATTTTCCCAAAGTATAATCTTAGCTGCAATCGATACACGATTTAATTGTATCGAGCGTAATTGGATTTACCTGTAATGATTTTTCGATTGATCTAAACTGGACGTGGTCGCGTGCTGCGCGTGACGGTAACCGTTATTATTAGTTAACGATAAAATCGTGCGATACGCTCGCCATTCGATTAACCGGATCGATACACAACACTCGTTTTGATCTTTCGATGAGATCCGTTCCGAGTAACGAGTGTAAACCCCTCCTCCCCTCCAACACTTTTTCGAGTATACGGGAGCAAAAGTGCGTGCACGAGTCGTAACGTACGCGAGCTCGCATCATGGGTACGAATGGGGGTGCAGAGAATGATTTTCCTAACGTACGTTATTAATGAGCCGCGCGCGGTCAGCTGTGCAGTCCATATGGGGGGTTGCGCACCCCCGTTCCATTCTGTTCCGCGCAGCCCCCTCGGTCATCAGCTTTTGTTCGCGCGCGCGAGCGTCGTGCGAGCGATACCTCCTGCACGTTGCGCGCATGGGGGTATCAGCTGTGCTCACAATCGTGCATCACTGACAAACAACCCTCTGGATGGCACGCTACGTGGCGTGGGTCGATCGGTATTTAAAATCAGGATTAGCTAGCACGATGTTCGCAACCCGCATGCACGAGCTATTTAAATTGCACACGACGATTTCGTCCGTATTGCACGAAGGTCTACTTTTCAAAGGGTTATGTTAGAATAGTTCGCTAAAAAAAAAAAAAAAAAAAAAAGAATATTTTCGTTTTTGATTCTATACGAGATACGAGGAGGAGATGATACGGAGAGGGGTAAATGGCATCACAGCTGCCTCTCAAGTGTCCATAATTCGTGTCGCGTGGCAATACGATCGAATTTAGACGGTTAGAGGGTTAGTCAGAGAAATTGAACAGATGCATAGAATTTTCCCGTGGAAATTCGCCAAATGTCGCCTCGAGAAGGGAAGCGAACGGTGGTTCGTGCGGACTGAATGTGCGACGTTACATGACTCACGATTACGAGTATTAGACTAGGTTGGATTGTGTTTTTCTGCAGGCTTCTTATATCATGACTCAGAAGAGAAGTTCGCAAACAGAAAACGCATATGGGAGAAATGAAGTTGCATGTATCTTATTCCAAGCTATTTATCCGCATTTATCTTTCTCTATAACCGTTGTTGTTCTCTATACTATATAATGTACACTTGAATGCTTTAATATTGCCAAGATTTGCGTGTATCTTATCAAACCCCGATATATAATTAACAAGCATGTGCGTCGATACTGTATTTGTAAAATTATCGCGAATGCGATTTGGCGTACGTGCATTGGTTAAGCTACATCGTACGCGAGGTCAAATTTTATATTGCATGCGATTAGAATCGTTACTTACGATTTATAACGAATTGAATTATATTTGAGTGCAAATTTCATCATTATTTTCTTCGTTGCATCGTATTATCAAGTTTCGAAAAAAAGCAATCTTCTGTTTATTGTTTTCATGATTGATCCTCCGATATCATCGAGATCTTTTATCGAGAAGATGCGTAGAGTTAACGAAAGTGAAAATAAGTCGTGTATTTATCTATACATGTTTGCTTGTTGTGTGTTTTCAGACTATATGAAGAGTCGTAAACGTAGCCTAAACGGTAGCGCGAAGAGCATGATAGAGCCGCCGGAGAAGATCGCTCGCAACGCGGGTCAGATACGCAGCTAAAAGCCTTCCAGCTTCCTCCTTCAGCCTCGCTGTCTTCTTCCATCTCTTTGGAGCGCGAGTGGGACCGGAAACACGAAGCATCACTGCCAGGAGGAACGAGAAAGGCAGAAGCTTTGGCAAGGAGGCGCGAGGTCCGTTGGCTGTGCCATTCACGTAGATTTATCCGCCATGAATATATAGGCGAAAACGGTGGGGAAAAAAGAAACGAAATGTAGTGCCGTTTTTTTTTCATCGCGTATACTTTCGTGGCCACGCCACGGAAAATACAAAGTACATAGTAACAACAGCGACTATAATTATAAAATAACGAACAGAGGATGCACGATATTCTACGGTTGTTGCTGTCATCTTTATATTTCTTTTTTCTTCTTTTTCTTTTTATATGTCATTTGCGTCGTATGTTCTTTTGCATTAAGCTAAACACAGAGTAACGATAAGAATATATATAAATATATATATATAAATATATATATATATATATATATATAGCGCGACAGGGAAAGAAAGAAAGAGAACGTGTGTGCGTGCGAGAGTGAGTGAGTGGGTGTGTGCGTTTTTTTCACGAAATTAATTAATGTAATATATTGTCCGTTTAATTCTAAAATGAAGCGAGAGTGGATGAGTGATGATAATGGAATTGTTGCATACATACACTTTAATACGAGCGTAAGGAGACAAAAAATATATAAATATTTTTTAGGACACAACGTAGATTTTAAGATTAGGTATTAAGTGAAAGTGCATTGCGTTTCTATAAAAAAAAAAAAAATTTCGCGCAATAAAGGCCACTTGAGCCTGGTCTACAAACATTTGAAAATCAGAGGCTGTTTCGACTTAAACTCCGTGAGTTTTCATCGACTTTTCAATTCGATGGAGATTCCCAGAGTTTTAATACATCAATAAAAATGACGCTATATAGATCAAACGAATTTCGCGATAATTTCGATTGTAATTCTTGAAACGATCGCGAAATTATACGACATCAGTGTTTTTGTTTGTTTTTTTTTTATTTTTTCCTTTTTTTTCCTTTATATATATATATATATTTTCAAAAGACAAAATTTAAAGCATAATTTTTATATATTTGAGAATATAAAAGGAACGCAATCATATTTTTTTTTAGCCGAAAAGAGACCAGTCTCAAGGACAATAAACGGGGAGAAAGATATGATTTAGATATAGTTTGTTACCCATGTTTAAGCATTGATCTCCTGTACGACTTTAAGAAAGTACAGCCGATGCCAAATCAGCCCCGCGATTTGTTTCTTACCTTATACCTTCGAAGAAGGAACCATTATCGTATTTGGCTTTCTCTTCATCTCTTTCACTTCATCACCTTGAATCCGGTTAAGTGTTAGTATGATTAGATATCTAAAGCTTCGTGAAGATTGCAATATCTGAAAAATATTCTTTTTTCCACAAAGAAAATCATTGGATAAATTCCATCGCGAGTTTCATAGAAGTATGGCGATCAAAGCTACGATTGATT